TTCCCCCCCCCCCCCTCCACTGTCATCTTAAGAAAAAATGTGAGAAAATTTGACTTTGTACAGTTGGTGGTGTCGGAGACGATGCTGTTTGTTCTTAATGATGGATGTTGCGTAGATACGGAATTCAAATTCCATTAATGAAAGGCAGTGACAAAAGCGAAGTAATGAAAATAATTTTTCGAAAGTAACGCGGAATGAAAATTAAATTTGTTATTTCTGTCTGAGAATTTGAGAGTTGGTTTTCCTTATGGAAGAGAATTGGGCTGGGCATGTAGCGCGCATGGATGGGACAAGAGGTGTGTACCGTGTATTGGTTGGGAAGCCTGAGGGGAAGAGACCTCTGGGGAGACCTAGACGTAGATGGGAGGATAATCTCAGGCGGGATCTATGGGAGATAGGAGTCGAAGGAGACTGGATTTTGTTGGTCCAGGACAGGGTCCGGTGGAGGGCTTTGGTTAGCTCGGTGATGAACCTTCGGGTTCCGTAAGCCATCTAGTTAGTTAGTTTGTTAGTTAAGGAAGAGAATTGTACAAACAAATGTTTGGAGATGACAGAGTGGTTGTGTTCTTGGTTGATGTGCCATGTAATCTGGTAGAAGTTTACAGACGTTTTAGAAGTACTTTCTGCCTCCATTAATACCCTGATGATAAAGGTAGCAGGAACTTTCAAAATTCATCAAACTTCTATCGGCGTACTGAGTGCAACAACAGAGAAGATAACCGTCTCCAAATTCCTTGCCACGAGAACCTGAAATTTCAAATTAATATGTGTTTTTAACTTTGGTTTGTGTCGTTCCTTTTCTTATGAACAGTCGCAACTTTGCTGGAGGGTTAGGACAGAATATCACCGAAGAGTATGGATTCCAGTTTCTGAGCAGTCCACACTTTGTGGCCGCTGTTATCGGCTCCAGTAGAATTATAATTAAATGGGTTTCTTATCCATGATCCTAATATTTTGTTAAGAATTTGGGTGTTGGCCACAATCCAGTATTATCAGTATTGTAATATATCATAATCAAAAACCTTCGGATTTAATTAAGAAGGTTTGTTTTAGAGTTAATTCTCCACGTACTGGTCGGCTGCATTTTGTGCACATTTTTGCCTTGTTGTCCGACATTCACTTGATGGTAACATAATTGAGAATATTCCGTGGTTTTTAAAATAAAAAGTTCTCTGGATGTTTCCCGTCGTCTAATAAAATCATAAAATTGCTCGACGTTTCGCAGATAGAGTCCCATCTCCGAAACGTCGTGCAATTTTATGATTTTATTAGACGACGTGAAACGTCCAGAGAACTTTTTATTTTAAAAACGCACTATCGTCACAAACTTTTAGATTCGAGCGATATTCCGCAGTCTTCCGAATCTGTTGTCGGTCACAGTGGGCTTTGCACGCCTGAAGTCGAAGTTCTTCACGAGTTCAGTTTGAATTTTCTTCGTTTCTTTGGACTTCTGTCGAACTTGGCTGATACAGCAATCACTTTCTTCTGTGTCTTTCTCTGAATGTGGCGTTCATGGAGTCGGAGGTGCTTTCAATCTCAGACTGACCGAGTATTATTACTTTTTAATTGTTTTGGGATAAAGAGCCACGTGTGGCTTTCACTGTCTTCGAACTTCGATCTTTGACTAGAATTTTATATCTCCGTCACTCCGCTGTGCTAAAATCCTGCTTGAGTACGCGTAATTTCCGCTGGGTCTGACTAGAAAAGTACAGTCTGAAGCAAACCTTCAGCTTCAGGGCTTGGTATTCACTAAACATCGCAGTGTTCTGGTAGTAAACTTTGCTTTGCTTGTCTGTATTATTTTTCTCTCAAACCATCCAGACAAATGCTAGGACAGTATCGTAAGACTATGATCACCTCCTTCCAGATTCATAATTCATAATCACTCGTTGATAAAACATTTTAAAAAAAACCAAGACAAATTATATTGAGATATAAAAAAAACTATTTCCTTCCCTGATATAACATTTTTTCGTGTGATTTTTACAATAACCATCATTAACCAACTGACGTTTGTAATGGAGACGTATATTTTATTTGTGTTAGGAACTGAATATTTAAATATTATTTATATCATATTTGGCTTTGAAGGGTTAATCCAGGCGAAAACAACATCTTGAGTGTTTCGTTAACCCTAGAATTATTAAGTTTGGCCGACAACCCCATAGTACGAGAGTTTAAATCTGCTGTTAACACGTAATAAAGATTAACAGTTATTAGTTCTCTGTAGATTCGCAGTGTTTCGCATAAGCAGTGATAATGACTTGCAAATCAGCTTTGAGATCCTCCGGGATTTACCTTTGAATCTTGACTTAAATCCATGTAACACACGATCTAAGATTCTTTTATGAGACCGGAAGAATGGAATTGCTGGTTTAAAGGACACGTTGACATCCGATGGGCTCTTTTGTAACGGTGGCAGCACTGCATTATACGCTTTTAGACTGCGGAATTTGGATTCTGATGTTTTGTGTAAGAATTATTATAAAGATTCACTCGCATTTGGTGCAGGAAATTCTTTGAAAAGTCGATAGTATTCTCGGCTTGTCAAAGAATGCCTCGCTTATAAAAGATACGTACGATGACAAAATCAGTGTATTGATTGAAATTTTAAATTTGTTATTTACAGATTGCTACGGTGTCATAATCTTCCAATCTCTCAAATTACATATCAGGAGATGAGATGTTCATTGTTCTTATTGGTTTATAAATTATTTAACAAAGCAATTTCAACTGCGAAGTTTGAAAGCACAGGAAATAGTCGTGATATTCAGTTTGCTCGCCTCTGCATTTGTAATGAACTAGAAGATAAATTTTGTGTTGAGAAAATTATTTCTTACCCAAAATTAGAGCAGAAAAATTGTGTGCGTAAATATGTTGATAGCGTGAATGTTAATAAGAATGATATGTAGTAATTATAAATTCTTCGTCATTAGACGTAGCTTTGAATTCATAACATATGAAGATGACTGTCTTCAGGGTTGTGTCTTATAGCCTCCATCATCAGGGCAATTGCTCTGATGATGGAGGCAGCAAGGACCTCTGAAACGTCGATAGACTTCTACCAGATTACACAGCAACAACCCAGAAGACAGCCATCTTCAGACTGACTGCCGTGATATATTCAAATTTAGGTTATGTACGCACTTGTAAGATCATGGTCGTATATAGATACTGTTATCAAGTATGTTCAGCTGTCTGAATATCTCTGATAATTGGAATTTTTTAATTTTAAATTATTGGCCTATGTGGACAGCAAATTAATGATTTTCAAATATGTATAAGATTTATTTCATTACAGGTAGCCCTCGATTTACGCCGGGGATGCATTCCTGGACGAACCGGCGTAAATTGAAACTCTTTTTATAATGTAAATCAATGGGAAGTCAATGACATGCCTTTCGAGCATCCAAACATTGACGAGTAATATAATGGCATTACATTTGAAGCTCTGAAATAACGTAAATAAATTAAAGGGAATTTAAAAAATATATTTTATACACTTACAGTCGGCAATTCGTTGGTCCCCGGGAGTGACAGCGATCTCTGCTGTTATGCGATAGTTGCATTCATGTAAGACACTGACCTATAGAGAATCGCGTAGTAAAAATAACCCCGGGACCTCCGCAGAAATTAAATTAATCCTTTGAAAGTTTAAAGCCCGAGGAATGAAATTGCATAAGAGAAAACTCGCATATGCAAAAGTTTGCAATTCACAAAAAAGCTTTTATCGATTCATCGATCTCATTGGAGCAAATTTGCGTTGACGAAACATACGTAATTGCAGAGATGACTATTTATAATTTTTATTCAAAATCAGCGATGTAAGAATTACGATTTGGTATAAGAATCAGTACGAGAAACATTGGAAAACGTTATAAATAATAGTAATTTTTTTTCAAAAAGACTTGCTGGTTTCAAAATCGGCGCAAATCGAGGGCTACCTGTACAAAGAATAACGAATGAGCTCTAAATAATTTGAAAGAAATAATTGAAAAATACGGTAATGTGGAAGAGAGATGGAAATCGTTTTGACAATTTTTCAAAATAAATAGTCGTACAGGTACCAAAATTAGAAAAGAACATTGTAGATCGAAGACGTAGATGTTGTACAGACAGGTGCGTAATAATTTTTTAAATGTGAAAGAGGGGCTTTAATTGTTCATAGTGGCACTTTTTAATAATATTAAAGGTACGAGTTAGTTCTGATAAAGATGTGTTAAAGTATGTTACAGTATCACAGAAAAGAGATACACAGAAATTTGCAAAATGCAAATAATCTAAAACTGTACTTTTGGAGAACTTTGGTGTAGTCTTTGTGGTGTAGTGAGGATTTTTCTCTAAGTCATTGAACCTTGAACAATTGTCTGTATACTGAGATAGCACTCTAAACATATTTATTACGTATGTGATTGGTTTTAGATCTCCAAAATTGTGCTGACATTTCTGAGGTTAATTTGTTTGAAGTTTAGCGTATGCAGAACTGAAACTTGAGATAAATGTTTTCAATAAGGCTTGGGCATTACTGCTCTGAGCTCACATGCCAGGATGTTTGCCGATGTCTACGAATCTGTCCCACCAAATTGACTATCGTAACTGATATTGGACCGTGGACGCGTATTTTAAATCTTGAAACTGCCTAATAAGAAAAGGTGACATGTACTCTTGTTTGGGAAACTCTGGGCACATGTTTATGAAATGCAGTGCCCCCTTCCTAAGTTGGTGGTGATCTGGGTTGCCCAAAAGACATGATCGATCATCCTCGATGCCGTTTTTAACCTCAAACCCCATTTTTCTTCAGATTTTTCCGTAATTCTGCATCCGATAAAGAATACCTGTTTCTTTATCTTGAAGTGAACTGGTACTGACAATGAAACTTACAAGTATTCTTAGTTTATTTCATTACACCGTATCAGCTGCAGAAGTTTTGCGTCATACAAGATGATTATTTTGAGCGCAACAGGAAATGGGATGAAA